GCCGGCCAGTGCTCTGGAACCCAAGTGACTCCATCGGCATGGCTCCCACCAGCACATCAAGGAGTAAGTTTCCATCCAATTTCCTGCTCCCTGCTTGATTTTCCAAAGGCCCTGATAATTTTACAGGGCTCGGGAAAGTAGAGGAGACTACATCGATTGCCAGCATAAATGCTGGAGGGATTGTGATCCAGGGAGGATTGGGGGAAATGGATAGAGTGAGGCTTGCATATGGCTGCCGTCAGAATGAAAACTGCAGTTGGTGGCCGGGATTCCCAACAAGACTCCCTCTTTTGCAAATAGGCAAGCTAGATCTTAGGTGGCAGAGAACAGGAACATATTCAGCACCTATTTCAGGTTTCATTTACAAAATAGAACTTTCACCTCATTGAGTAGCACTTAGGATATTTTCTTGGAGTTCACCTTGGTGGTTTTTAGGAGTGGGTTCCTCTTTGTTTCTCCTAAGGTGCTTTCACCTCTTCATCCCCACTGCAGGGATCCTCAGTTCATTGGCATGCCATCACATGGTTTGATAGCAGTTGGTATTTCCCTAGATCCGTGCCTATCACTCATTCCCATAGGCAGATGGTGGACTGCCTGTCCTATCGAGCAGCCCCTTAGTGGGATCCATGAATGGCAAAGGCACAGGAAGCCCCGGCCATCGAAGGTGTACACAGGGCAGAATGTGAAGAGCTGAGACCGAACCACCGGTTGGCATTCCTATGAAAGCCTTCCAAATATGGTTGTCATTTTCCCAGCAACAGGCTCCCTCCCATGCGGATCCCGACGGAGGCGGCTTGTTTTGAAGCCAACGCAGCAAGGGGCTCTGCACGCATTGTTCCAGCAGAATCCATACCCAGGCATTGCCACCAGAGAACGACTGGCCCGAGAACTAGACATTCCAGAATCTAGGATCCAGGTAGGTTTGAACTGCACTTGCATTTTCTCTGGGGGACAAGTCATGGACACAATCAGGCCCAAGCCACTGCATGTCAATCTACATACTCAGCTGGGAAGCTCAGAAGCTTTGGCCCCTGTATGTGCATCTCTGTTAAGCCCATGCCCTTTGAAGTCATTCTAAATCATTCACTCGTGGAACCCGGGTACTATTGGAGCGCCAGGCCTGGGACTTTCCAACAGGTCAACACATCTTCACTGACTTTCCCTAGAGATCATTTTTCCTGAGTTATCACATAGTCCACACAAAACACTCTGAGACCTTAGGTATGAGAAACAAAAAAAGCATATATATATAGATCATGTCCACCAGTATTGCCTGACCATCGGTTTTTCTTTTGCCATTTAGGTGTGGTTCCAGAACCAGCGCATGAGACAGATAAGGCAAAGCCGATTGGCGTCTACCAAATCCCAAGAGCAAGGGCCAACACATGGACAGGAACAGCCTCCATCTTGGACTCAAGGTGACTCCCCATCATACCAAATGGGTCCCTCCTTGACCTTCTCCTTGACACAGGAATGGGTATGCATGGGCTTGCCATGTGTTTGGCAAGAAGGCTTAGCACAGGAACCCATGACCACTGGTTCCAGCTGCCTTTCTGTTCCCAGAGATGGACACTGTGCATGCACCACCTGTTGGGCGGGTGCATTGTTTCTGGGCAAGAAAGGCTTTGAATCTTCTTGTCCTGAAAATGTAGGAAGGACAAAGTCCTCTTCTGGGGTCACCTCAGACTTTAGATCCAAGCACTGGCTTGTGTGCGTGGGTCCATGGTGACCTCAGTGGACTCAGGGACGGAGAGGCCATTGAGAAAATGGAGAAGCATGTGAGAACACACACACACACACACACACACACACACAGTCATGCATGCAGACGGACACCAATTTCTCTTTCTACAGTGGATGTGCCAGTGGCTTCAAAGTCCTCCTTTCTAACTCTATTCCCTTTTTAGAACATTTCACAAAGGATGGCAGGAGAAAACGGATATCCATTTCTCCATCCCAAACCAGTATCCTCCTACAAGCCTTTGAGAAGAACCACTTTCCAAGCATTGCTACCAGGGAACACCTGGCCAACTTCACAGGTCTTCCAGAATCCCGCATTCAGGTACATTTTCAGAGTGTGGCACATGAGTTGTTCAGTGTGGAAGAGATAGTGGTTCCTGAGACATTGTTGTGGAATCATGAGCTCCTTGGAGTTATCCACAGGATCCAATGCCCAGGCAATGGGGGCAAAGTCTTGAACTTGCAAGTGAGAGACGGCCCAAGGAAGAATTTCCAAACCAAATGGTGTGTGTGTGTGGGGGGGGGAGTTGGCAGCGTACATGCGTGTAGAAATGGTGAGCACAGAAAAGAGGGGAAACGGAAATATTGGCACCTATCTAGAGATCACACAAACTGTCAGCTCTTGAGCAGCGTAGTAGCACTCTCCATGTGGCCCTCAGGATTTCCTGAGTGTGAGTGGGGTTGCTGCCCTGTGTGTGGCAACATGTTTGTCAGTGTCCTGGGCCTCAGGATCCCAGGGCAGGAATGGATTCTACCCACAAACCACATTTTCTCTGGATAACCTAATCATCCAGGATAATTGTCCCAAGGATTATTGGCAGGTGGGTGAGATGTCCCATGTGCCCTGGTTGAGAAGGCTCTGCAGAGAGTGGTTCCTGGTATAGGAGTTGTGAAACGCCCTTATGGTATATGGAGGCTGACTCTCTGGAAGCCTCTCCTTTGGGACAAGAGCAAGTGACCCTGCTTCAAGCGGGCCTTCATGGGCCTGTACTCTGAGAAGTCGTGTCCCTGGACACAGGGGAAGCTCAACATGCTCGTTCCTGAAAAGTCTTCTTCCCATGTAGCAAATGGAGGAGAGGGAGAGCCAAATCTGAATGTGAGTGTTGTTGATGTGGATTCTTTGCTGCCCATGCCTTCCTCTAGACCCATAAGAGATGTGCTTTAAACGTACGTACATATCATGTGGATGCGAGGCCAGGAGGCATGGGTTGAAGGCCTGCAAGTTAGAGTTGGTGGTTTGCCATTGGGGTTACACCCAATCAGACACCGGAGCAGGGAAAGGTGTTAAGAGATGCCCTGAGGCATTCCGGAGAACTTGGATTAGCCTCGGGAAGGAGGGGCACGTGGTCGGCTATGTCTTTGTCCCATGGCTCCTGAAATGGCTGGTCAGAAAGTTGCAATTGGCAATCAAAGAGAAGGCAAGGTAGGGACTGAACAGCAGGCAGAGCAGAGCTGAGCGCCTGCCATTCAAGCGTATCAAGGGGGGATGGATTCCAGGCCAGGTGTCCACAGTTTCCCTGGGTGTTCACCTAGTTTCCAAGGGCCAGGTGAAAGATATGGACAGAGCTCCCCTGAGATTCAGACCCAGATTCCTGGCCTTCTCCGCGAGAGATCCCACGTGGGCGTAGGGGGGAAAGAGAGCTGACTTCTATCCCTTCTGCTCATGTCCACGACATCCCTTCTCTGTCCCAGGTCTGGTTCCAGAACAGAAGAGCTCGGCACCCAGGGCAGAACAGAAGTGGCCCTGTGAAGGACATGGAAGTACACCCCAAACCCAATCCTCATGTGACAGTCCCAGTGGAACCAGGCCTCCTGGCCAGTGTCCCTATAAGCTCTCCTCGACTGGCTCTGTCCAATCCTCTGGGAAGCATGCAGGGCCTTCCTGCAGGGACAACTCCCATTCCCTGCATGGGCTTTGCCCCTCCAGTTTTCTGTGGGGGCCCTGGGAGCCAGGCCCTGGGGGTCATGATGGTCCCGCCCACCCAAGGTGGGCAAGGAGGAGACAACTTTCCTGCTGCTAAAGGCCTGAGGAGCTGTTCCATGACTAGACCGACTCTGGGAGGGTGTCTCTTCATTCGACACGCTCTTCTTTGTCTCCTGTCCCAAGGCGAACACCAGCAGCATCATGAGCATGCTGGCATGGCACCCCTGCCCTTCCAAGACTACCCACAGCCTCTACCTGACTATCCTTGCCAATGGTTGAAGGAGGCAGGGCACTCCGGAAGAAACTGCGCTACACAGTGCTTGGGCGAGGGGTCCCAGCATGTCATCGGCACAGGACAGGCTCAGGATGGGGCAGTTCTGCAGCCAGCACATGCTGAGACCCCTGGATGGCAGCAGCAGGCACATCCTACTGCAGGGCTGTCTGCTGCGCTCAACCCACAGCACCAACCCTCTGCAGAAGCCTCAAGTTTTTTAGAGGAACTTTTCACAGCCACAGAGATGGAAGAAGACACACACCCTTTTCTGAGTGGGTGTTTGCCGCAAGAGGACGCTCTGGGACACCTGAAAACACCCCTCAGTGAGGAGGAGTTTCACACCCTACTGGCTATGCTGCATGACGCCACATTGCCTCAGGCCTAGGCACAGGGAGACCTCGTCTTCGCCACCCCACACTCATTCAGATCTCCTTTCCTGAGATGCAGTCCTAGCGGGTCAGCAAGGAGGAGAAACAGGCAGCATGGTGCATGTTCTGGAGGAAGACCGTTGCCCAAAGCAGCATCCATAGCTTGGAAAGACAGAAGAGGATATCATTTCTGCCCTGTGTGCAGGCCACCATTGCCTTCCCAATGAGCACCAAGCTCAGCAAAGCCTCTGAATGCACCGTGGGCACTGGGCAATGGGCACCCTCCCCGACACCTAATTGATCCAAATCACTGTCAGGACACACATGTGACCTCCTCCCTTCCATAACCCTTTCCTCTGTGGCCTGGGAAACCCTGGGCCTGGCAGCCAAACCAAGAAAGGAGGAGAGTTCGAAGAAGGACACCTCCACATGCCTTTTCCTCCTGCCCAGTCAGATAGTCCCATCTCCAGGAGCTGAATGTGTAGACCAAGACAGGACGCTACACATCTTGACCGTGAGAGCCCAGGGTCATAAATCCATCCTGGCTGGGATAGGCTGGGAACCAACAAAACAGGAAATGACTGCAGTCTCCCATCTCTGAGTGATCCTGTCCCAGCCAAAGTCTGGAATGCCCTGGGGGCTTTGCCTGGCATCTTTGCCCCGGGGAAGCCTTTCCAAAGAACACAAAATGGCAGCAAGAAGGGCCACAGCCACTCTCAGCAGGCAATCCAGAAAGGGTACCACTGTGGGTCATTCTTCAACCTTAGCATTTTTTATCTCTTTTGTTGGTATGTATCAGCATGCCTCTCTACCCACAGTGTGCCTTCACTTCTCTGGAAGAAAGATGTTCCCAGTCAGCCTCTCGGTGGCCTTCTGTCAGCAGGGTCACCTCTCTCTGCTGCAAGGGATAACTTGGAGGATATCCATACTGGAATCGCAAGCTTGAGGGGACAATCCATTGGTCCAATAAATCTACTTTTGCCTCCCCAATGTGATCTCTTGGTTGTGATTTTTTTTCTTGGTTGTGATTTGTTCCATTTCCCTCCTGTCCTCTCATGCCTGCAAATCTTCAGAGACGTGAGATGCTTCTTGGCCCTGGGACCAGCTGTGGAAGCCATTGGTATGCCCAAGTCCAGTTCACAGCTTTGGGCACAGACAACCTCATGGGGCAGCACTAACACTTCCTGGCAGTCATCAAGCTTCGCCAGGTTGAGGGTGCCTGATGGTCAAGCATTCCTCCAAGGGATGTAGGTTGAACCCAAGTGGCAGAGAGTCCATGCACATTGTATTTGACCCCACTGTTCTCAGCAGTGACCAAATTCATACCTAAGGCTCATCCTACTATGCTGGCAATGAATCTACCTCCCTTTCCTGCTCTTTGCCTCCGCCACCTCTCCTTGTCTCTATTTCTTCAGACCTCTGTCTCTCTGTGTCTACCTCTCCCATTTTATCTCACTTCCTGTCACTACTGGACACACACAGATATCCACACTGTCAGAGCATCATGCTTATGCAACTCAGAGTATGGGCGCTGAACCTCCAGAAAGGATCGTGGGTCAAAACATTTGGAAGAATAAGGTGGGGATTGGCACTTTTTTTCTTTGGGGATTTATTCTGCCCCTACCTATTTGCCACATGCCCTTGGAGATGAGAGATTATGAATTTGGTCATTTGAGGCCCCAACCCATCCATGTCCAAAACATCTGTGTTTCAAGGGGGGAGGAACCAGAGAGGGCCACATGCCCTTGGAGAGGAGAGATTGTGAATTTGGTCATTTGAGGCCCCACCTCAAACACATCTGTGTTTCAAGGGGGAAGGAACCAGAGAATTCCTATCTTGTTGCTTATATCCAAATAGATCTCTATCTTTATCCATATTCACATATGCACAAATATATCTGTATCCCCATGTCTCCATGCATGCAGACCCATGGTGGATCGTGTTTATCTCTCCATAGATATAGGTTGTGCTAGAAGGCCTCCACATCGCCCTTGCCCTAGTGTATCATTCTTCCAGTTCGATCTATGGACACATCTACCTGTAGCTTCGGTAGATAGAGTGGAAATGTCTGTCTCTTTCCCTGAACAGAGAGGGTTAGAATGTCTGAAAGGTGCTGGGCAAGGTGTCCTTGGGACAGACTGGGCTTTCATTCTGTCTAGAGAAGCCACGTGGAAGGACGGCTCACTTGCAGTCGTGGCAATACTGCGGTCTGATCTGAGAGTGTCTGGGAGGTCTCTGGAGCCGTGGGGTTGGCACTTCTGCACATAGGACATGGAGGGAAGAAAAGAGCTGCAGCCACATTGGGGTCCAAGGCCAGCCAGGCCAGAGGAGTCTCAAGTCTGGACTTAAGCCCTGGAGCCTGTCCTGTCAACAGGTGGCCTGTTCCTTCCATATCGGTGAGCTTTCAGGGCCCTGGCATGTGTGCAACACGGAGCCACCACTCTGAGAAATCACCTGCCAGAGAAGGTGTCCACGTGGAAGCTGGCAGGAATCCACCAGCTAGCAGGCTATTGCTCATGGCCTTGGAGGCCATGGCCCCAGGCGCTCTCATCTGCAAGGACATCCTCACACAACTGTGCCTTCCCTGGGATCCTTCAAAGTGAGCCTCTCACCCTCAGGTCACCCTCTTCTGGGAATGAGGGATTAAGAGCAGGACCCACATGTCTGCAAAACATCCTCTTGGGGCATGAAGTCTGTTCCCAGTCTTGGTGAGAGTCAACCTCAGGCACTGCCTGGTGACCACCCGCACTGTAGGGACAGAGAAGTCCACAAAAGCAAAACAGAGCCATGCCAATGGTAATTTGCCCTGAGCAGCTCCAATCAGGGCTTGGCACTTGGACCACCTCGGGGGATTTACGCTTTCCTGAAAGACTCTGTTTTGAGGATGCTGCCCCCAGAAAGGGTGTAGGGCACCCTCCGTGCGGCCCTCTGCTCACGCCGCTCCTCCTGCTACAAGCCACCACTTGGACAAGCCAAGCCAGAAATGGACATTGGAGAGACACCAACCATCTGGCCAAGGCTGAAACCCAAGGGCTTCCAGGTTACGCCTTCTCTCTCTTTCTGCAGATGCTGTTTCCTTGACCTAAAGCCACTGGTTTCTCTGGCACCGAAACACAAGTACACACCAGCACACACTCAGACACACAGACACCCCCACCCCCATAATTAGCGATTGCTAATTGACTGCCTTCAAGTCCTGGGAGAATGGGTCCCTTCAGCACTTATTTCTACTGGGTTCCACTTGTCTCCCTGTAGTTCACCTGATGGACTTTCAGAGACTTGTCGGTCAAAAGGATACAGGAGGGGAACTTGGGTCTGTGTGTAGCCTTTTCTGTTGGATCACTGGTTGGTTGTTTGCTTTCTTGGTTGTTTGGCTGGCCGGTTTCCTAACTGGCTGGAAATAGGAGTCAATTGAAATGCTTGACTCATCGCCCTTTCCACCAGATCTTCCTTTAAATCACTGAAGGGACTTTTCTCATAGAAGGGGGTTGGTTATTTTGGAAACACACTCATAGCACCACGACGATCACCAACCCAATACACCAGAATAACCCCAGCTTTGAATGAGATGCAACATGGCCTTTCCGGTTTCTATTTTGGTTTGAAATGATATGATTTTCTTCATCTGCTTCCCACACTCCTGGAACTGACTTCTCCTTCTCCCAGGTCGTTAAGTAGTGCTCTCCTTAGAGGGCTCTCATCTCTCTTGACAGGCCCTGCCATGAGTAGTCAAGAGCAAAGAACACCAGCTGGAGCCAGTGGAAACCCAAAATGATGGACTCCAGCAGAGCACGGACTATTTCTCTCTGGGAAGCCTAGGGAGGCCTGAAACCATATCAGACTGCAGATAGCTTGCTTCCCTTGCACCAGGATCTGGTAGCATCTCCACTTGCCCCGAACACTGCACGTTCACAGGCTCCATGTGTTTCCTTCAAGGGTGTTTTTCCCTTGTGCCCACAAGCAACTAAGAATGTCGACCAACCATCGCCACATACATGGAGATAGCCAACTAGCAATTTCCCACTCAGGTGCCTCCTATCGAAGCTGTCTGATTTTAGGCCCCTGCCTGGCTCCACAAGTGTTGCTTCACAAGTAGCCTGGGAGCTGCCAGGGTGTCAGTGGAAACACGCTCCACAGATGCTAAGGGATTTAAGACACCAAACTAAGTGGCTAAATAATCCCAAATGTCAGGAGGAAGTTTGAAAATACCAGGACACTTACAAAATCAAAATTAAAAAAATTAAAAATAAAATGAAAGGGAAAAATGAAAACACTCAAATGAAAAATGTTGAAAGTCCAATACATAAAAAATAAATGTAAACAAAGAAAAGAAAGATAGAAAACAATATAATGCAAGACAAGGGAATTTAATTAGGAGGCTCATCTTGGGTGGCCAAAGGTGACTCGAGTTCCAAACCCACTTGCCAAAATCTGAAGCGATTGTCGAAGGGCCTCCACTGGATCAAGTCCTACACAGAGTCCCCAGCGTCTCAACACCATGATTTGATGTCAGGGCTGTAATCCTTGAGAAAAAAATAGTGGGAGTGGGAAAGGGACATTGCATCCAGAGGAGAAGGGGCAGGGCACGTCCACTTGCCCAGGATAAGCACTTGGTTCAAGTGGTCCCAATGTCCTCCTGAAGACCTCATGTGCCACATGTCTGAACCACTGAAGGAAGGGCTACCACAGGAAGCTGTCAAAATAATTGGGGGTGGGCCATCAAGTGTTTTGCCATCTGGGCATTGATAAGTCCCATGCTCCAGGTCCTGCCCAGTGAACCAGCCAGCACTCTGGAACCCAAGTGACTCCATCGGCATTGCTCCCACCAGCACATCAAGGAGTAAATTTTCATCAGATAGCTGCTATCTGCGTGCATTCCCCAAAGCCCTGATAACGTTCCAGGGTTCGGGAAAGTAGAAGGGACCGCCCTGATTGCTGGCACACATTGACGTCATCCATGGAAGATTGGGGGAAGGGGTCAGGGAGAGAGGCCTGTATGGCTGCTGTCAGAATGAAAACTGAAGTTGAGTCCCTCCTTGGAAATAAGCAAGTTAGATCTCAGGTGGCAGAGGACCGATCCAGATTCAGCAACTATTTCAGGTGTCATTTACAAAAAGAAAACTTTCACCTCATGCACCAGTACTTAGGATGTGTTGTCGGAGTTTGCCTTTATGTTTCTTTGGAGCAGTCAGTTCCTCTTTGTTTCTCCTAAGGTGCTTTCACCCCTTCACCTGCAATGTGGGTCTCCTCAATTCATTGGCATGCCATCACATGGTTTGATAGTTGTTGGGTTTTCCCTAGATCTCTGCCTATCATCTGTCCCCAGAGGCAGATGGCGGACTGCCTGTGCCCTGTTGAGCAGCCCCTTATTTAGATCCATGAGTGGCAAAGTCACAGGAACCCCAGACTGAGAATATGTCGACCCAGCAGAAAGTGAAGTGTTGAGACCGCACCACCAGTTTGCATTCCTATTACAGCCTTCCACATATGGTTCCAATTTTCCTTGCAACAGGCCCACTCCCATGCTGATCATGATGGAGGCAACTTGTTTTGAAGCTGACGCAGCAAGGGGCTCTGCAAACATTGTTCTAGCAGAATCCGTACCCTGGCATCGCCACCAGAGAATGACTGGACCAAGAGCTAGACATTACATAATCCAGAATCCAGGTAGGCTTCAGGTTCCGTTGCATTTTTCCTGGGGTCAAGATTGGACACAATCCAGCCCAAGCCACTGCATGGCAATGCCCATGCTCAGCTGGGGAGCTCAAGAGGTTTGGCCCCTGTTTGTGCATCGCTGTTGAACCTGTGCCCTTTGACGTTATTCCAAATCATTCACTCCTGGAACATGGGTAGCATTGGTCTTCAAGACTTGAGATATTCTAACACATCAACACAATTTGGCTTACCTTCCTGAGAGATCATTTCTCCAG